CTCTGCCTCAGGGATAGCATACCTTCAGTACCAAAATAATAAAATCCCACCTCGCATCCACCATCAGGTGAGGCGTAGCGGCCTGCCTCTGCAGGCTCAAGCAACAACCAAGGGGGGAAGCTCCCTCCCAGAAAGCATTCCCAGATACAGCTCTTTACATCCATCTGAAACAGGCAGGAGAAGGTTTTGGCACCGGGACGGGGCACGGAGCTGAAGACTCGAGGCTTCTGTCCCAGCCCCGCCATCTACTGCCCCTCCAGAGCACAGGGACGATGCTGTCCTCGAGGCTGGGGGCTCTGAGGAGTCAAACAGGGAGTATGTGCCTTTCTTCAAGTCCCCATTTGATCTCCAGCTGCTGGCACCGTAACCCTCCTCCCCTTTGAAGCGCCGCTCTGCTGCAAACACCACCCTTGTAACCCAGCTGCCTCCCCCTTTGATAATGCCACACAGCTGAGAGGTTTTTCCTATAACACCAGGAAAAATGCTTGAAGGGACATATCTGCATGAATCGCTGAAGTTTTTAGGGGACGTGTGATGCTTTTTAGACTTGAAGGATCTGTCATGCTCTTATTTATAATGCAGCCTGATACACAAAGCTTTGTCGGTGTTATTTCCCTCATCACTCTGTGGAGCCTGCCTTTTTCTTTTTAAACCTCTGCCCAGAGTTTGCTCTGTTTTCACTAATATTCAAATACCCCCATGAAACAGCCACCTCCCCCCTGCCAGCCCAGGGGCCTTTTTAAGCTGATGGCAAAGGGAAGAGCTGCTGCAACAATCAACAAGTACTCTCCTCCTCCAAACAATCACTGTCCCTGCCCAAAGACATTACAAAGCCCAGAGTACCAAATGAGAGGGGGGTAAGGAATTGTCTCCCCGCTACCTCCCCAGGGTTGGGGGAGGATGGACAGTGTTCCCCTTTTTTCCTGTGCAGCAGAGATGATTTATAGTTCCTGCCCTGCCCTACTCGTTCAAAGCAGTTTCTCTGCAAAAGAACATCTTCCTTTAGAAACGTCCTTTTAACACAAAGCATAAAATAAATCTCATTAGAGAGGTAGAAGTTTATTTCTGTGAGAGATATTCTGCAAAATCCTGCAACTACACCATTGTTCGTGCTCTAGCCTGCAGGAACTTCAGAGGATCAACTTCTTACAGGAAAGAACAGAACAAAACAAAACTTGAAAACCACAAACCGCCTAGATTCAAAAATTCAAGTTCTTCAGCTTTTAACCTTTAAACCCGTAAGGCAAGAGACACAAGTCAAAGACCTAAGCACAAGGGAGCTGGCATGCTTCCTTCCCCCAGGCCCTGCCCCATGTCGCTTGACTTACCCTTGCACCCGTGGCTGATCTCAGGGGCGTCCTGCCTGTCTCACAAAAATCACGTTGTTCTCTATCTTCAGAGAGACCAGAGGCAGGCACAGTTAAATAGGGAAAGTTCTCATTTAACATCTTTTGCTGTAAGTCACAATCCAGAAAAACCTCCAACAAGGCCTTTATTTCAAGCTGTTGAAATTTCTGCATTTTCAGTGGCAATTATTAAAGAAGGAAATTCTCACTTATCAAAATGACCATCAAAAAGTAGTATGTCAGAGACCAAGTCTTCTTGCATCACTTTCCCATACAGGATATAGGAAATATAAGCAAGCCATACAAATACTTTACACACACGGTAAGATTTTTTTTTTTTACATTCACTCGGTCAATTTACAAATAATCACTCCAGGCAGACAGTTAACAATATCATACAAAGAACACAAGTACAACCTCCACCTTATCCCTCAACCTTCTTATTAAAATGTAGAAATTCTTGGCACAATAAAAAAATATATATGCATATATATACACTGTCTCTTTTGGCTCTGTATTCCACCTATTAACAAAAACATTTTAAAAGCATTTTTCTGGTTAGCATGAAATGACATTACAACTTATGCATAGTAATGGACAAAAATCCCTTCTCTCTAGAGGGCTGATAAAAGTATAAGTCCGCATGAAAAATTAAGTTGCGTTTAAGAACAAGATATACGTTAAAAAAAACCCTGAAAGTTGTGCTGTTTCCATCAACATGGATGTCTCAAGACTAAAACCAACTTGGAAGCCTTTTCCCAATGACATTATTTTATTTTTAATTATTTAAAATCCACTAAAGTTCTGGAAACCAAGATCATGCACAAAGGGTAAACAGCAGCTTTCAACTCCATAGAAAACAAAGCAGTAGAAAAAACACTATTTTTGAGACATTCAGAAAGCAACTTGGGTGCTTAAATGAAGACTTCTAAAACCAGAGCTAAATTAAGGTAATAAAAGGGACATAAAAACTGTATTTACCTCAGTCTTCAATATGAAACAATAAAATCAGACATGTATATCTTCACTTTGTCCGTTATCAGATAGCCTGGGTACCTGCAGTTCTTGCTCTGCACCCACTTTCAACCAGATCCATTTTGCAGTTAAACATGCAGACGAGGAGTTGCTCTTAGGGCAGTCAATCAATCAATCACTGTCTTCACTGGTGTCAAAAATTTCACTGAGTCGGAAAGACTTCTTCTGTTCTGTGGTTGTTGACGGACTAAGATGTTTCCCCTTCCTTTTTTCTAACTTTGCTTCAAGTTCTGGAAGTTTCTTTTCAAAAAGATAATCAATAATTTCTTTGAAAAGAAAGAGAGAAAAAAAAAGTAGTCTTAATTGGATCTGTATGGGAAGCGGATGCCTAGGGGAAACAGGATCTCACAAACAGAAATTATTTTGTCAGTGTTAAATGCAAAAAATCTCACTGTTCTGTAGTAATCCCAGTGGCTACAAGGTAGATTGGACACATGCACACACGCAAAGATAAACTAAGAAAGCACAGTCATAAAACTAGAATTGAACTAGAACAGATATCCTCTTAGATTCAAACAAAAACCTGGAGTGTGTATATATAAACAGCTAGGATACTAACCAGAAAAAGACTTCTTTCGCCACAAAGGGACACAGGTGACTTTTAGCTTATAAAATTTTGCTTGAACATAGGCTCTAGGGACATCTCTGAAAAGAGAAGAGTTCAAAGAATTAGTGGTGCAAGGAACTACTACAAAGTTTAGTTGCTACTGAGTCATCCACTCACAAAAGGGAGGCCAGCCAAACAATACCTTAGCTTTAGGTGAAAGGATGGATTTCAAATTAAAAGGCTTCAAGACAGCAACTCTCCTTGAAGGTAAGAGCCTAAACCATGCCATCATACATATATGTTCAGTGAAAAGAATAGTAAATGAAACTGAAAGTATGTGGAAAAAGAAAAAAAAACACACTGGAGAAGAAGTACAGCACTCACAGTATTGGTGATTTCATATTCACCACTCACTCTGTTTGGAAGAAGACTATTATATTGCATTACACATTCCTATAATTATCCACTTCTCCTCTGTGTTGATTAACACCTAGAAAAGTCTTTTATCAAAGACTTCAGCACAGACTACATAACACAGTTGTAGTACACAGGATGCACTGGGAATACAATAAGGGTTGCCTGACTGGTTAAAATTAAGTTCCAGAGATTCCAGACATGGTTTATCACTTGGTGCTATGCAAGGATATACAACTGTATGTTACCAAACATCTTCTATAGTTGCAGAGGTCTAAGAACTTTCATTCCTTTGTGGAATTTTTAAGACCATCTGCTTCACCCATCTTTTGTAATCATAAAAAGAGGAAAAAAGGTTTACCCAATAATATGACGGAGTTCTTCCCAGTTCACTTCATTAGAATCCTCCAGTTCCATTTCATGCAACCTATGAATGTAATACAGAAGCCGTTTGGAGGCAGAATTCAAGAAATAATTCAATAATGCTCACAGCTCCCCCACTCAGAAGTCACAGGACATTTAGTCCAAAGAATGGTTGTGAAACCTGTATGAAACTGCAGGCGTGCTGGTCTCACCCAGCAAGCTTTTATAAACACAGCTCAGGACAGTCAGTGATACAAAAACATTCCAGTAGCTCTGAACTATACCTTTTAATAAGATTGATCTTGGCCTGTAATGCCTTCGTTCCCCTATATAGCTGCTGCCCTTTGGTCATCTTCTTTGTTAAAATTGTAGTCCTTTGAAAACACACACAAAAAAGATTTCTATAATTTCAAGAAATTCAGGGCATCAAAAGGGAGTGTCTTCAAGCTGCTACTGCTGCCCCAGAGAAGCAGAAGCCAAAGCTCACTATCACAGCAAGAAGAAATCTTACCACAGCTACCAAAGAGTTGTCTCAGACACATCTGCAACGCCAGGAGGTAGTCTACAACCACCATCACGGTACAAACACTTCTGCGGAATGGAGTTCAATACTCCCCAGAAGACATTTAACGATAGTATATCTCAACATAACAAAGGTAAAACCTTACCATTTTTGTTTACACTGTCTCCAGTAACGAGTTCCCACTTTAGCTTCTATCTCCGTCCATGGTAATTTCTGGCAGAGTTTCTCACGGTCAATCAAGAGATCTCTATGGGACTTTGTGGATGATGAAAGAGATTCTGCATCTTCTGTTTCTATTCTTTTCCTAATCACCTCTTCCACTGCTTGCATTAACTTCTGAGTCTCTTCCTTTGACCAAGGACCATAATTAATAGCTAAAATTGAAAAATAAGGGTAAGGCATAATGCATCATAAATAATTAGGAAAAAAAACCAAAAGAGCAAATAGTTCACTTTGCATGATTCTTATTTATGGGACCAGCTTAACACACTTCCCAAAAACTCTTTGCATACCAGATTTGAGAGAGGAGTTCAGCCTAAACACTAAAGAACAGCACTGAACCCTAGTTTCTATCTTTTAAAACCTGGTTGCCAAATTCCTCTATTTAGATGCCAGTTCCATTTAATAGAGAGTAGCATTTGTTCCACTTCTTTTCCCTTCTTCCCAGAAGAGACTGGTCTTAACCCTTCTGTATGAAAATGCAATAAGTAGTCTGGAAAAAAGAACTACCACCACCACAAATTTAAAAATAAATCCATTCCAAGGATTTTTTCCTAAAGTTAGGGCACATACAACATACAGATAAAATAACTTCTCAAATTGTAATACACAGAATGAATCGTCTTCCTTAAAATTGCATACCTGACTTGATTTCAGAGTATTTCATAGCAACTGAGAGGTTAGAACGGGACATCATCTCAGAAATCTTCTTCCAATCATTGCCATGCAGCGCATGATACTTTTTCAATTTTTCTTTTTCTTCCTTAGTATACCTAGTTGAGGAAACGGCCACAGCTTCAGCTGTAATTCAAACCATTCCAGTATCTTAAAAGGGCTGTAATCTTTACAGGCGTTCCAATGTCACTCATCACTACCATTTCAAGTCACATTTTAGAACAGAGGAATTGAAAAGGACTAGTCAGAAAAATGATCTGTCAATTAAGTCACAGTCACTGGCACAAATGGGAGAGATGATCTTCATTTACATCCATTTGTAATGTACGAGTGAATATCAGAGACTGGTACAAGCATTCAGAAACTCTTTCAAATTACTCACTTACCTGCCTTTGTAATTATTTGAGTCAAACATCTTCCGTGCTCGGTAATAGATCAGCCTCCAGGGTCGTGGTATGCCCTCAGCTAGAAGGTAAATGATTCGTTTTTAAGAAACATTTCTCACACCGGTGAGGCCACTTTAAAAAAGCCAAAACAAAACAAAACCAAACCAAAACCCAACAACATACACTTTCACAACCGTGCTGTCAACGATAGATTCTCTCCATTCAAGAGAACATACTCAACACTTCAGTAACTGCACAGGAAACTGTCTGAACAGAATCTCCTGACGAGTTCCAAAGATGTAATTGTTATGACCGTGCTAAGACTGTGAATGTTGACAGCTGGTAAATAATTGCGTACGTGTGGGCATACGTGTGGGTGAATACCAAAAACTGAACGTCTGAAAACACAAACCTGTTACTCACTAGCTACAAATTGTATGGCCTGGCTGTAAATTTTGATATCATTTGGATCAAACGTAGGTAACAGACTGAATGCTCCCATTGTCAGAGAGACATGAGACAGCCACCAGTCAGGCGGCTGATGAGATAGCCAGCTATTTGAGAAGGAACTTAAACACTTACAAAGTTTTTCACAAAAAAGATTGTTTGCTTTTAGGCGACTGATAGTTTCTTTTTCTTCTGGATACCTCGATGTAAACAGGAGTTTTTCAGCACTGTCTATTCCAGTAATTGATAAGAACTCTTCAACATTTTTCCGGATTTGATCATTTTCCTTCTGGGAAAATCTGCCAAACCTGACAGAAATACCTAAAATATATGGACAGTTTTATTAAAAAAAAAAAAAAACAAAACAAAAAAAAAACCACAACCACAACCCAAATCTCAAGTACCATCTCTTGCACATTACATTCCAGGTTTCAGCAAACATGTAATGAAAGATCAACGAATTCAAAAGGTGAAAAAAGAAAACTGAAAAAAGACAAAACAAGAGCTGGAAGCAGGTAGTTTACACATAGGCTTTGGGCAATAATTTCACAGCAACAACATAGATGCTACAAAGCAAAGAAACAGAAAATTATATCCATTGGAATGAAGCGAGCCAAACTCCATGGACGCGGCAGACATGATACAAAACCAAACTATTTTCCCCTCTGTCAAAAGATTAGCACAGCTGCACAGTCCTTCCTCACAGCAACGATATTTTGAGAGCTCACCTTGTTTCTTAAACTGTTTAAACCTCGTTAGATCTCTTCCAGCCATCTTCCTAATTGAACTGTCTGATATACTCCTCACATGAGGAATAAACTCTTCCAATTCTTTTTTTGCAGTATCCAAATCAATGAATGAACAGATGGAGTCCAGACAGTCTTCATCATCTGCACTAAGCTCATCAGAGGCTACCGTTTCAGCAACGGAACTATTCTGGTCCTTCTTGCTATTTGATGCCACAGGTTCTGGTGTCCTGATTAAAAAAAAAAAAAAAAAAAAAAAAGAACAAAATAAAATACACGACTAGAGCTCCAAAACAGAGATTTTTGTTAGTATCTCTACCATTAAAAGAACAACCATATTCATTAATTAAAGAACAAGGAATACTTCACACATCCACCCCCTTGTATTTCCAACCTTTTAACACAGACGTAATTTATTATTAAATTTCTATACGTACAATATTCAAAGAGCTCAATGAAGTTTTGAAAATCTGCACCTTTCCCACAAAACTCTCACATACCGACATGCAGAAGAAATAGTGTCTCTTGCTACCACTGGCAACACAGAACTTCCATCTGTCTCTTGCCAGTGCTCTCACTGTGTGTTCCAGATGCTGTAAAAGCACCAAGAGCTACTTACACGAACACTTGTTTGCACCGAACCTTACATTCTTTAGGTGACCTTACTAGTTGTTTGGCAAAAACGCATATGTCCAGTAAAAACACCAAATTTAACATATGGAATCCCTTTCTTCTCTCTCTTTTTTTTTTTTACTAAATATTAATTACTTGTACATAAATTATTTCCATACCTACCAGTTTTAAATGGGACACAATGTTCTATGTTGAAGGTAATGGTATTCTTACAAATTGTATTGTATTGGTAACTAAGCTCTTAAAGTAGGTCTCCGTAACACCTCAACACACCATAAAGGTTTTTGAATTTGTTTTCAAAAATACATACAACACAGACTGAGAAAAATCTGGGACCAAAATAACGTGTCAGAAATATATTTGGGGGTGGGGATGGGGGGAAACCCTCAACTTACATGACATCAGATTCTGAAGAGCTTTCTTCCATGACAAAAGCCCTGCTTTTTACTCTCTTTCCAGGATGCACTGAGGTTATCCCAGGAGATTGATCTGCTGCTTTAGTTGGCTTAGAAGAATTAGCAGGTACATCCGTAGAATCTTCACTCATGGCAGAAGCGCCTTGGTTACCACCCTTGTGCTGTTTCTGGGGTGTTGCCACACCACCCTTTTCTTTAGGTAATGGCAACACTGTGCTTTCCCCTTGCCTGTTCTGCTCTGGAGGTGACAACAGTGACTGGTCAACAGTCATATCTGTGTCTTCTTGCATAGCTGGGGTATTACTGTCTCTTTTCCTGTTCAGAGACTGGTCAGCAGTCATATCTGTGTCTTCTTGCGTATCTGGGGTACTGCTGTCTCTTTTCTTCTTCTTCAGTGACTGGTCAATGGTCATTTCTGTGTTTTCTTGAGTACCAGGGGTACTCCTGTCTCTTTTCTTCTTCTTTTTCTTTTTCAGTGACTGGTCAACGGTCGTATCTGTGTCTTCTTGCGTATCCGGGGTACTGCTGTCTCTTTTCTTCTTCTTCAGTGACTGGTCAACGGTCATTTCTGTGTCTTCTTGAGTACCAGGGGTACTCCTGTCTCTTTTCTTCTTCAGTGACTGGTCAACGGTCATATCTGTGTCACCTTGCATATCTGGGGTACTACTGTCTCTTTTCTTCTTTTTCTTTTTCTGTGACTGGTCAATGGTCATATCTGTGACTTCTTGCATATCTGGGGTACTACTGTCTCTTTTCTTTTTCTGTGACTGGTCAACAGTCATTTCTGTGTCTTCTTGCATATATGGGGTACCGCTGTCTCTTTTCTTTTTCTTCAGTGACTGGTCAACGGTCATATCTGTGTCTTCTTGCGTATCTGGGGTACTACTGTCTCTTTTCTTCTTCAGTGACTGGTCAACGGTGATATCTGTGTCTTCTTGCATATTTGGGATACTGCTGTCTCTTTTCTTCTTCTTTTTCTTTTTCAGTGACTGGTCAACGGTCATATCTGTGTCTTCTTGCATATCTGGGGTACTGCTGTCTCTTTTCTTTTTCTGTGACTGGTCAATGGTCATTTCTGTGTCTTCTTGCATATTTGGGGTACTCCTGTCTGTTTTCTTCTTCTTTTTCTTTTTCAGTGACTGGTCAATGGTCATATCTGTGACTTCTTGCATATCTGGGGTACTACTGTCTCTTTTCTTTTTCTGTGACTGGTCAACGGTCATTTCTATGTCTTCTTGCATACCTGGGGTACTCCTGTCTCTTTTCTTCTTTTTCTTCTTCAGTGACTGGTCAACAGTCATATCTGTGTCTTCTTGCATATCGGGGGGCCTACTGTCTCTTTTCTTTTTCTGTGACTGGTCAGCGGTCATTTCTGTGTCTTCTTGCATATCTAGGGTACTACTGTCTCTTTTCTTCTTTTTCTTCTTCAGTGACTGGTCAACAGTCATATCTGTGTCTTCTTGCATATCTGGGGTACTACTGTCTCTTTTCTTCTTTTTCTTCTTCAGTGACTGGTCAACAGTCATATCTGTGTCTTCTTGCATATCTGGGGTACTACTGTCTCTTTTCTTCTTCTTCTTTTTTGATCTTTCATGGTCATTTTCACCATATGTTTCTGAGGTAGGCAGCTCATGTACCTCATCCTCTTCAGGCAATTTTTCTTTTCTATTCTTCTTAGCAGATTGTTTTAAATTAACGTAATCAACATCAATCTCCAGACAACTACCAGTGCTATGCTGATTTACTGAGACACAAGTTACATCATTTTGATCACCTGCACCATCATTATAGTTTTGCTTCTTTTTTTTCTTTTTCTTTTTTTGGGGGGAAGCATCCACTTCAGTTTCATGACTAATTTCATGTTCCAGTCCTACATGAGAATTATCTAATGCAGACTGTTCCTTCTCCCCCTTGTCCTTTTTTTTTTTCTTCTTTTTATAGCCTTCACCACTCTGTGCTACTTGATCTTCAAACAGCACTGGAGAAGCACAGCTAAGCTCTGCATTTTCTATACTTTCTCTGTCATCATTTTCATGTCTCTGATTGTATTCTTTGTTTTTTTTCTTCTTCTTCTTCTTCTTCTTGAGAAAATCCTGAACTTGAAAATCATCTGCACTTGCTTCTTCTGTCATGTTTTTTCTTACCTAAAATAAAAGATAGGAGTTTTACTCAAGTGCTATAATGCATGTACCGTTACACAAAATAAAAAAAAAACTCCCGAAAGCCCCACCCAAAGTATTAAAATACTATAGAACTACTCAATTATATCTTAGAAACAGACAATAAAGATACTTACTTCTCAATCCAGCTGATTTTGCAAAGTGACTATGTAAAAGTGACGCCTTCTTCATCAAACAGATGTGCATCACAGCTGTACTCAGCTTTAAAATTGCCTTCCTATAACAGAAAGTTACACTTTAATAACTACTAACTTTAAATTGATTTTTGAATAACTAAGCAACAACAGACTGCTATATCCAACCCTGCTTCCAGCACTGAAACAGCAACAAGCTATAAGTAATAAAGAAATATTAATTTAATCATCACTAAAACCAAATTCTCTAATCAGAACCTTCTGACTGGCTTTGCCCATGTTCAATCAGGCCCAAGCCCTGCCAGCGCCAATTGGCTCCATAACCAGAACAAATCTACTGCTGACAACTACGGAGATACACGGAGCACGCAGAAAGAATTTTTTAGAACATTTTCTATGGCCAGCACATTAAAAAACACATATAAACCAACATCCCATCATCTTTGAGACACGAGGCCTTGAATTTCACATCCCCAACAGTTTCCAGAGCTGATCAGTACCAGACATCACCTCCTCATCGCCGCCGGGAAGCGGCTGCCCTGAAACCTCTGTGGACAGACACCGACCCACACATCCCACAGCTCTGGGGACAGACACCGACCCACGCACCCC